ACCTTTAAGGTGGCATTTGTCCGATTTTATGGTTCTATCCGCCATTTAATGCATCTGCCTTTCTCTTGATCCATTTGAACTGTTCATTTTGGAGGTCTTGAATTTGTGCATGAGACCCAGGAATGGTCTTTAACGTTACAGTAGGGGCAGTTAGGGCTTTAGGCCTTTCGACATTCATCTTTCTTTTTGGGTGTAGTATTTTGGTGTTGCCTCCTTTAGATGCTGTTAGACGGTAGATAGGGGACTTTTCGGTGGGGGGGCTGGCGTCTTTCCAGTCCATGGTTTCTCTGTCTGTGGAGCTCAAAGCTCTCTCTGTGATGGTTTTGCTCTGGTTTCACTCTAGCCATTTTGATAGGTCAAGGAGGGTATAGGTTTGGGTTGCTTGTGCGGTTAGATGCCACGATTATGCAGTTCTCATACTAATCATCTCTTTACGCACGGTTTATGAGGGAGTCTGTTCCACATGGGACCACATCTTATTGCCCATCAGACCCTCTAGGGACGCACGTGTCCAACCAGAGCATGGCATAGACAGGGAAGATTATCAGGCTTCCCGTATCTTATGCGAATCAAATGGGGGCATTTAGTATTTCACTATTTCTCGAACTGGGCGCCTTGGCTGCCATACTTTTCTTTGAGTGCTAAGAGGGCAGTGGAATATGTCCTTGCATCATGCATGCTGGATCTGGCCATTTGCTAGCTCTGGGTGCTGACTGTTCCAAGAGTATTTGATATTTTATTACTGCTGCTGTCAGATGGGGATGTTGTCGAGGGCATTTTGAGGCAACTCCTCTCTCGGACCACTTTTGACACACAGGATAGAGAGGTCTTGGTATACCATGAAAGCGAGGTTATCCACATTTGTAACTTGTAACATATTGGATTTGAACATGCGTAACCGGATTGTGCTGGGAGGCATGGGCTTGCGTTGGCTGCGACTTCCGGTAAGGTAGGTTTGTTCGCTACCAGGCATGGCTGTCATATGTTAGGGGCTTCAGCGTGCCGAGTACAGGTCCATGGTGAATCAAAGGCGGGGGCTTACTGTAGCAGATGCAAGGTGAAAAGGAAAGGTACAGCTTGGCCTCCACATGGGGGTTTGATGTTGCTGCGTTTCGGCAGTGCTGCTGAGGAGGAGGGCAGCCTGGGCTGTGGTATGCTTTGCTGTTTAGTTGGGCCTGGACATGTTTGGGAGCCTTAGTAGTCCTCTGGAAAAGGTAGTTTGGGGAGCAGGGGAGCTAAAGCTAAATGAGAGCGAGATCAGCATATGTCAATTTGGGGGGGCAGGAGTGATATCCTGGATGGAGGCAGATCATAAATAAGCGTTTGCTCATTTCCATTGAGAGATGAGGTTGCGGCCACGGCTCCTCCCTCTCTTCGAAAGATTGTGTTTTATGAACTCGTGACAAGTTGTGCTGCTCAAGTCTTGTTCTTTAGTCGAATACGTCTGGTTCATTTCCCCCGTCTGCCATTTTCTCTCTCTTCTTTGTGTGCATTTTCTTGAATTGCTGGCAGCTCCAGGCCCCTTTCATCAATTAACTTGATTTTTCATCAGTTGTTTTATCCTCCATTGCTGTTTTTAAGGCCCTCAGCTCGTCTTTTCTTCCCTTCTTTTCCTGGGCTCTGGCTGGAGATCACTCATTAGGGTGTGGCGACTGCTCTGATGTCGACTTGTATCAGGCAGCCTGTTAGGACACTTGGATGTCCGACTCGCTCGAGTGTTGTCTTTACTTCCGTTAACTATGACCTGAGATCTTTGGATTGCTGCCTTGCACCGTGGCCATAGCAATCAGGGGGCCGTCCATCTCTTTGGCGTCTAGCCCCTTAGGTCACGATGGCCTAACTTGGCTTTGTGGGGCTTTGGCTAATTTCAAGGAGGCGTACTGTTGCGATGAGATGAGGGGTAGGCAATAAGGTCAGGGTGATACGGCTAGGCTCTGTTTGATGGGCAAGGTGTGGATGCCTAGGTGATGTTTGACATGGGCCCTCTTGTAAAGTAGGAGCTGGGTTAAGTCTGGGTCACTTTCGACCACCATGTTCTCAGTAGCAATCGGCCTGACCTCCTTGTTGGGTTATCCATTGTCTGCATGTCATCAGTCGCGGAATCAGTCATTTGGTCACTGTGTGAAGTGTGGGTCAGTCTCCGGCTCGAAGGACCATTTGTTGGAGGTGAATGTTCAAACTGAAGCCACAAACCATCAGGAGACAGGAGTTTAAACTTCTTTTTTTTTTATTATATCAGGCTATGTTGGTGGGATGGTAGCTGTTGCCAATGGTTCTAGTAGAACAGGTGAAACAAACTGATTACAGCATTTGCATATTAAAAAATATACTTATATTACTTGCAAATTAAAGTTAACAAATAGGTCTGCCGTAATTATATCAAATTGGAATTAAATTATATTCATTAATACATTGAACAACAAATGTGTTTAATACCATTGAGGTTACTCAAGTGCAAACATCGAAATTACAAAGATAATTCTACTTACATTGTTAAATCAAAAGACACATGGCGAACAGCTAGCAAACACTCAATCCTGGTGTGGGTGTTTGAGGACAAAGAGGAGGAAGTCCTCATCGAGGCCTCCATTTATAGCCTGTGAGGAACTTCTACCTGCTTCCCTACACAGTGCCTCTTGTGGACAGGAGGGTTACATACATGCCATTTCTAACAGTGTGTTATTTTTGAAAAAAATCTGCTCCTGTTGGAGACAAATGTATCCTATGTTTGCTCATTTTAATTGTGTAAGTAAACCTTCCTAGAAGTGTTAATCGGGTGATAAAATGTAAGGACTGTGGCAAAGTCAACACACAGACACACACACACACACACACACACACACACACACACACACACACACACACACACACACACACACACACCAAAAAATAGCTGTTTTTCAAGCCATGAAACCATTCAATGGATGACACTCACCCACAGAATCATCTATGTGTTAATATTGAAATAGAATACAAGGCGATACTGAACACTTTTTGTTTTTGAAACATATATGTCTCTTGCAAAAGTCAATGCAACAAGTGGCTCTTGTGAGATTTCCCTGAAAACAGCTGCCTCCATGGTGTCAGTGACTTTGTGTGTAACTGAGATGATGCCAGTCATAAGAACCCAAATTATAAAGAATGGTTTGTTAATCAAGTTATATGTTATAATTACTCTATCAAAGTTACAGTCTTATCCATTCCTGACAAGTAGCAATATAACAGCTATAGAACATCTATTCAAATAGAAAGTTAAATACAGAGGAAACAGGGGAAATAACAGCATTCGTCCCAGCCTCAGGTACAGTAAGTATTTCTGTATTAATAAACCTGCTGCCTGTCTGATATCAGCATTGAATACAACCTCAGTGAAGGGCCAATGGTCAGACCGACGAGGCAAAGATGGAAGCCAAGAGGTTTAATTACACATTCAGCCAAGCCAAACAGAGCCAGGTGTCAGACTGAGGCTGAGTCATGCATAATGAATACGATTCAGCTACAGGCTAGATGATTATTTATTAAAAATGTCTCACACTGTGTCCAATTTGTGGAAGCTCAATATTGGAAAAATGTAAATTGTATATTGAGGACCATAAGATTGATTCATAAAGCAACTCAAGACAGTTGGGTCGGAGATTTGGAGGTGACATGCTAGTAGTGTTTAATGTTACCTTGTGCTACTAGCCTGTACAAAAGATGAGGAGCAGCTATCGGTCTGGTAAATTCACTCCTTTCAAACGCCAGTCTAACAGATTTTTTCAATTTCTGAGCCTGTAGTCTTCAGCACCATCCTAACCCCAACCCTCAAGTGACATCAATTAAGGCAATTCATGTATTCATTCATTTATATTTACATATGGAGTTGTGCACCCTGAGAACCACATTTTCTCTGTACAGTTGATGACGTTTTTCTTAAATCTTGCAGGATGTATGGCTTTGGAAATAATGTGTTATCAAAACAGTAAAGTCAGTACCAAAAAAACTGTAATCTTTGATTCAAAGTCGTTGTCGATATCTGATGCAGAGGATTTTGCAACCTCCCTTATACAATGAAGGTGAATGGAATTAGTGACGCTTTAAGTAGCCAAAACATGCATTTATTAGACTCAAAACATTTCCTTTTTCCTCAGAGTGATCCACATACCTCATTGTTATCAGTAAAGATTAGGAACCATTTTGACCCAAAGGACCAAATTAGATTGGCATTCAATTCAATCTCCATACATACACCGTAAAAGCCCATGAGATGTTTGCACAGAAACTAAAAAGGCAACGATCTATACATCCTTGTTTGTCCTTGTGTCTACATCAACATTCTGTAAAACCATCTGCAGAGACTCACCCTGGCCAAGCTGACCCCACCAGGAACTTTGTAGGGGACGTACTTCCTGTAGATGTGTCCTACCCTCGAGCAAGGAATGTCCTCCATCCGGCCACCACACATCCACACCTACAGACGCAGAGAGAGAGATATTTTAGCCGTGATAAAGACCAGTTCTGTGCTGGTGTTTCTTTCACTAAACAGTGTGTATATCAGATGAGCTGTTTAGGTCAAGAAATAAGAAGGATGAAAACATAAGAGTAGAAAAAGTCAACACTTGGGAAGAGATGATGAAGACAAAGCAATGAGGAGAAAAGAAGGTTAGGATGTAAAGAAACGGAACGATGTGAAGAGTGGGAGGATGACAGAGAAACATCAAGCAATGTGTACATCAAGTACACGGTTGGAAGCTATGGGTCTTGCTTCCTAGGAGAGGATAAAAAGACTACATAAATATGAGATTAAAAACAGGTAAATATATTTTATTTCAGGTTAGATACAAGCTTAAATAACCTCAGGTATTAACCCCATGTTATGCAGAGTGCAGGAGTTGGAACACAATTCAGAACAACCTACGGAAATCATCCCAAAGTGTATGTGTTTGTAAATAGCATAAAGACCAAACAGAGTAAATGAGATCAAAGAGAACCAGTCAATAATTCTCTGCTAAATGACAAAGACTGACATGATTTGTGAGGGTACTTTTGGAGAGCAGAGCAACTTTTTAACTCCACAGGGTATGGGTATTTTAAAAAGCCAGATTGTGGGTGACGTATAATTTATTGTAATCATAAAAAACTATCCGGTTCATTGCTCATCAAAAGTGTGGCTAAGTGATCTCATTGATTAACAGTAGCTAATTGATCTTTGAAAATGATCAATTTGACCCACTTTTCAAATGATTTTGTAGTGGGGTGTTCTCCAAGAATATTTGTTTGAAAATGTTTCTCATCCCGACTGATCGACTCTTCTTTTGGACTGTATAATTTCCATTCAGTTTGTTGTTATTCTGCATCGCTCCCCTTCCTGATTCTCCGGAGTGGACATCAGCTGGCTGCTATTTCAGTTCATTACTCCTTGTCAACTTTGTTGCACCACTCCAGGTTTGACAAACAGAATCGGGGGAAATGGCAGATTAAATGCACCCTCTCTGCATCTGCTGTGGGGAAGGTCTGACCTGCTGTGCCAATCCTTTCCATCGTCTTCATCCCACACTGAAACACTCAAGCTCAATAACAGGGCGCCTCGCGGCAGGAAGGATCTGGAGCTTGAGTTTTGTGCCGGTCAGATTAAATTGAAAGTCTCATCACTCACTTCAAACACACCAACTCTACAATATGCTTACCTCAAACTATTAAGACTCAAACCACAGCACCATGGACTGAGATTGCTTTGCCGTCTCTTTTAAAGACAATTATAACTACTTTATATATAGAGGACTTTACAAAAACAAGTCAGAAAATGCAACACAATTGGTGCCAGCCACTATTCTACAGTGCAGATGGCTTTGTTGAACCATTTACAACATCACCTGTATTTACATAAACATGCTTAATATCATTCATTATATTTGTAGAAACCAGACTTTGGTATCCTTTTTGAAGATAGTAGACAAAGATAAATCTGCGTTAGGCGTAAACTGGAGAAACCAGATTTCTTTGACCATGCATACCCAGGGGAGTTTGTGACCAACAGTATCACTCTGGAGTAAGTACCTGTTATATGTGTATCGTTTCACGAAGATGTAAATCTATGCCTGTGTTCATGCAGTAAACGCAACAAACAGATTCTACATGTCATTCCAAATGAAGCAAAAAACAAGACCTTCTGAAAACATGATTAAAGATTCAGAAACGTTTTTTTCATTTGTCAGTTATATTAAAGGATCAGAAATGTGTCTTTCTTGACTTGAAAGCTATTCTCTGCTCAATGCGTTCCTTTTTTACGTAGCTTCGGTTTGTTCCTTTTAAAACCGCAAATATAAAAGCTTCCATGAATGTCCTAGCCTATATGTTGCATCACTATTATTTTAGTATCAATAAGAAAAAGTAAATAAAAAAAAAGATTAAACATTAATATGAAGAAGCAGTAGAAGTTGAAACGTATATGTCCGATAGAATACAAATACCTAGTAGAGGCCTTTGTGCTTAATTGAGTGAGACGACAAAAGTCGTTCCTCTTTAGAGCAGTGATTGAATTATTATGACGGCCTTTTTGTCCGTCCAGAGCCCGCTGACGGACGCAGGGGAGGAGAGAGAGACCAGTTCAACATGCTGGCCAAGTCGCAGGCAGTTGTGGTCACGCAATAGAATAATTCATGCTGAAGCACTAGAGAAAAGCATAATCTAATATGGTGTTCTGAGTATGATTAATGTGGAGAGTCTTCCATGCAACAGAGCAGGTTTATCTTAAATGACTAAAACAAGGGTTGAAACCATAATAGGGAATGTCTCATAGGCTTAACTATGTTTTTTCTAAAGCTATTCAGCTAAATAGCTTTGGGTAAACTAATAAAACATTAGGAGAAGCATATGGAACATACTCTTTCCTCCTTCAAAGCAATTTAATGTTAAAACAAATCAGCTCATAATAAGCAATTGAGATAAGTAATTGCCTTGCCCCTGGATTTCTTCTGAATGATCTCTGAAAGAAACTGGGACAAACATCCCATAACTGATGACATGTTGTCCTTCCCAGTCTGTGAGTATCCGTAAATAAGCACAACAGTAAAGGCAGAGCGTAAAAAACAATTTCAAAGCCTTTTGAGTTAGGATGGTTATTTAAAATAATAACTGAATACAATACTAATACATATTTCAGATTTGATTTAATCATCATTGTTCTACATACAAAAACATATCTAGTGCTGCATTTTATATGTATATAAGGATGCATAATAAACATACGGACAATGTGAGTGTCAATAAAGCAATTACACTATACTTTAAAAAAAGAAAAATCAGCAACTCAAATAGCTACAGTGTAGGTATGTGTATTACTATGAAACACACTGATAGTCAAACACCGACTGATGTGGAACACAAAATATGGAAGAGTTCTCTTTGTCAGGTTTAAGTGAACACTTAACATTTAAACCAAGGTCCCAATGAGTATCCATTACAGTATTTCCAACACTTCACTCAGACACCACACTGTATATCTGTGCGAGGTGGTGACATGTTTTATGTTTTACCTTAAAGGAGATCTCGTACTGTTCTCCTCCCCAGATCTCCAGACCTGTGTCGTACCCTCCGAGCTCCCAGAACCACTTCCTGTCCACAGCAAAGAGCCCACCTGCCATCACTGGTGACCTGCAAGACACAGAAGAGACACATTCACACACAACACTCGACAAAGAGGGAATCCAAATTTGACTTTAGCATGGTTTTTCACAGAGAACATTTCTCTACATCCATCTTTTTCTAATCTCTCTGCTGTGATGTCATACAGTTTTGCAAAAAGATATGAACAGACAAAAAAATACTTTTTAACTGACCTCAAGTGTAATTTAAGTGGTGCCTTTTTTTAATAAAATGTCAATATGACATTTGAGGTCAAATCAAATCAAATCAAGTTTTATTTATATAGCACATTTATAAACAATTTTTGGTTGAGCCAAAGTGCTGTACATATAATAAAAATAGCCTACAGTAAAGACACTTTACAGCTAATACAATAAGCACAGATTGTTCAGAATATCAGTATGAGAAAAAACGACACCCTCTATCCTTAGAGGTATCTTATTATATCACCATAACCACATTTCTGTAATCAGAAAGTTAATCAAATGGATCTAATAATATTGTTAAACCCATGTATTCTCTATGGAAGCCTCTGAGCCCTGCTAATACATATTAAAACAATTATTACTCTGTTTTCACTAAACGTTTTTTCCTTAAATATAAAAGCAAGGTTTTTACATCTGATCTCATGCTGCATGATCAAATTAATAGTTAAAAATAATGTGCAAATGTGTCTAAATTTACAGGCTGTGAGAGTTAGTTTCAGTACGTTCTATCCTGACCATAATTGTGTATTTGCCTGCTGTATGCAAATGCATTTGTTTAGTCACCCATTGATAATTCTGACTGGTATAACTGAAAAACATGTTGGTGAACTGCTGTTATACTTTAGAAACACATTTTATTTTCCTATCTTTCTAAAAAAGGACAATCATAATCATTGCTCTTGTGTTTTTCACACTACTGGCCTGATTGGGTAACAACGAAGTCCAAGCAGTTCATTGCCTAAGACTTGTAACTTGTATGCTCGATAAAGAAAACACAAAGCCGACACACTCTTTTTCTCTACAGCATTGCTGAAGAAGAGAATGCAGTGAATAGACTTTCATCAGGAAACAAAGGTAACCAATGGTGGCAACGGTTTGTTAGACGGCTCTAAGTGTAGTGATTGCAAGCTGTTGTGAGTTTACAGGAGTGTGTGAGCTCAGCATGGAGAGCGCAGCATTGTGTTGGCACTGATTTTTGGGGTGGAGATTGTTAGCTTTGTTGGATGGAGGGCGAAAAAACAAACATACTTCACCTCCCCGAGTTGTGTGGAATGAAACACTGTGGCTTTAGGACAGACAACACTAATATCTCACAGCTCAGATGAAGCTTGTGAAGATGAGGATAATTTAAACACAACAGGTTCCAGTTTAATTTACCTGAATAATAGCCAGAGGCATGTTCATGTACCTTGTTTGCCAATAAACACGGTTTACTTTTAGCATTAACTCTCAAACCACTGTTTGTCATCAACTATTAGATCTGGAGTCTAATACAATTATTTGAGGACATTTGAATAATGTATTTTCTGCCATAAGGGTTTCATAGTCTGCTGAGCTTTTGCACAGCAGACAACTGAGTGAACATTAATCATTGTTACTCCAGGAGCTGACACTGGCTTTCAAATAAAGTGAAGAGGAAAGGGCTGAGCAAAAAGAGAAATGTCATAAAATAATAAAATAATTGGTGCTTTTACTTAACGCAGCGGGGGGGCTTTACACATGTATTACAGCCGTGAAGTGTGCACAGTCGCCATGGCTAAGAGTAATGGTATAAAATATTTTGAATTTTTAATATTGATACATTTGATTTTAATTTTTTTGTACAAGAAAAACAGTCATTGTTCATTTCCAAATAAATGTAATATCAATTTTTTTTCGCACCCAGGTTCTCAGCAAGCCGTAACACAAAAATGTATTTCTTCAAAGAGAACTAAAGAAAGAAAATAGGTGCAGCTCTGAATTTCAAGGCAATTACCGTCTCTATTATTTTGTTGTTATGTTTCTTTTAAAAAAAGGAAGTTACAAAAACACACCAAACAATGTGATTTGCATCAAACAACTGCAAACTATTTATAAGCCAACCAAAATGTGGGCTTTGTCAGATTCAAAGCTTTTCATTATTTTTTGATCAGACATTTCTTAGAGTTATCACTTACCAATTTTGCCAATTTTAAAATATTTGATTTTTTCAGAGTTGTTGTTGGTCTGCTTGTGATTTACCAACATTAGCAAATGGGAAAATATATTAGTTTCTTCAGCTGGCAACATTCATCCATCTTCCCTAGTCCCTGCTCTTTTGCAAGTGTCAACTGAATTTAATTTGAATGCTCAAGTTCATATTCTCCATTTCAGTCCATTGACCTTGAGGAGAAAGATGGTGTCAAGGCCTAAGCTTATAAATGAAACAGTGAAGCCAGAAGCAAAAAGAAAGGCAGAGGGAAAGGTGATGGCGCTGACAAAAGAGACAGTTACAGCAGTATGAGAGCAGGGATACAATCATACTATCACACACACAACCACACACACACAGACACACAATGGATTTTGCCTGCCCACCGTGCCTCATTCTCCGCTGCGGCAATGTCAATCAGAATGAAAATGGAAATCTTTGCGACTCAAATTGGATTTGCACTGATGAAGGTCATTTCATTGGGCAAGAAGAGCAGACTAATTCACAAAATGAGGATTGATTCGGATTGTTCTGCAGCGCATTTGTTCTTCCTTAGTCTCTTATCTTCCTGCAGCACAGCCACCCTTCCTGATGATACCTACTGTATTTCCCAGGACACCCAAATAGTCTTTGGCATGCAGTCATAGAAATGTGCTGTCTAGATAATCCCCCGAAGCTCACACATATAAGTGCCTGGCATCACTTGCAGAGTTATTTGGTCTTACAAATAGCAGAATATGTATCTGGGTTTATTTATTTAGTTTCCATTAATTTAAAGTTACATGCCATGAAATGCTGCCTGTCAAGGAAGGATAGGAAGCAATCCTAGACTATTGGTTCTGTTTGAACTTCAGTACTGCTACCTGGGCAAACATTAACTACACATGCAAGACAAAGAAAGAAGAAAACAGACAAAATGGGACGTGAACCAAGGAATTCCCAAAAATGCACATTTGCTGATGACTATACATTACAGAGATTTGGATTTGCATAGATCTGTTTTTGTGACGCTGCCGTCAAATGTATCAAAGATAACTGCACTCACTCAAAGGGTTCACTGGGGTCATTTTTCTGCAGCTCATTAGGGATGGGTATCCGTTTATAGTACATTTCCCAGTCAAACGCCCCTCGCATGGCATCCCCTGCCTGCGTCTCATAGCCAAAGTTGTCGTGGTCGATCACGTCGATCATCGGACACACGATGGTCTTTCTGTTATCTGCGATTCGATCTGAAGGAAACAAAGGAAGGAATATGGGGTTTGAAGAATTTTAATGACAAAAAAGGGTTTATGAATTGCTTCCAAAGGTTTTTTGGCTCTAAACGCCTGTGGCGAAGAAAAGTCTACTTTTGACTCGTCTTGACAGATTGCAAATGTCTTGGAGCTGTGAACAGTTCAACCAAAGAGCGATGTTCCTTTCTCAGAGTCTTTCATTTTTATAGTCTTAACAGTCCTTGAGAGGTAAAAGTCTCCAAAGAAAGGAACATAAAGATTTGAGAAAAGTTTCCGTTTTGCGAAAACTAAGGTTTTGACTTGGCTGTAGAGTTGAGATTCAGATAAGTGGGTACATTGATATGTAATTCCAATAAGTTGTGTTTTACGGTTCCTCACCCAGCAATGGAGGTAGCCAGTTGACGTTGGCCTCACAGTGAGAGTCCAGGAAGGTGATGACTTCTCCTTTAGCAGCTCCGGCCCCCAGCAGGCGAGTCCTGATCAGCCCCTCCCTCTTCTTGGTCCTCAGGATGCGAACCTTTGGCAACCGCACCATGTACTTTTCTAGTGCTTCCTTGAGGTGCTCTACAGAGATCAAGACAGTGAAAGCAATATTAAGAATGGCTATTGCATCAGTATAATGGTATTGATTTCACAAAAATGAGCCCCATATGTTGTGTATTTGTGTATGCACGACAGATAAATTGGGCCGTAGTAACAAAAGGAGCTTCAGCAAGTTGTCTACAAATTGTAAAACGCTTCTCAATGACATCTTACAAAAAAGATCAAAAGAAAACTAAAGCATTAGCAGTCGAATCAAACAAGACATCTGTCTATGCCACATGCTCCTTTAGGACTGTTTCCCTTTAGGCCTACATAACATTCTCACTATTATTGGGGGAACACAATACTTTTTGCTTTAGAGACTTGTTTTAATATCTTTGACTTCAATCATTAGAACCAATGTTACACTAAAGAGAAAGTATCCAACTGTGAGGAATGACAATTAAATTGCCACCCCCCTACCAAGTGTAGTCATAAAGCCTTTTGGCAACAATGTCTGTTTCTCATCATAACTTGCAATAATGCTCATGAACATTTCACCATAGAAACTATGAAATGCCTATGACGGATTCAAGAAAGTGTCTCAGCATTTAAATGTTCAGTTTATTGTCAGAGGAAAACAACATTTATTTGAAAAGCACTTGCGCAACAAGTCATTGTTCATCCAACACATGAGTCAGCTCAGATCAAAACAATGTCAAGTCTTTTTAAAGCTGCAGCAATACATGAAATCTCAGCAGAAAGGAACATGTAGGTAAAATGTGCAGTATCTGCTGGAAAGTTGAAAAATATAGAGTTGAAGAAAAAGTCGAACCAAGAACTGAAAGCATTGATCAATCAAAGGGAGGGCTATTCATACACGTTTTTCTCGAATCTTTCCTCAAAGTTGCCTTGGACAGAAATCAATCCTGTCCTAAATGGAGCTTGTAAATCTTTCTCCCCAAACGTCAAGTCAGATCTGACAGGTCAATCAAAAAATTGGAGCGAGACTCAAGACCATGTTTCATTCGCTGTCTGTCTTCTGTCACCGTGTTTCCAAAGTTAAGACGCGGTCAACCATCAAAGAGAAACCCTGTGATGGAGATCCTGAACCCTGGCAGAGCTGTTTTTAGAACCCTATACTACTGAAGTAATAGCGTGTTTTGCGGAGTAAAACATTAAAGTGATAAAACCTTGATTTAAAAGGACAAAATAAAAGATTATGGTTTGGTAAAAGGTCAACAAAGCTGAAATTGAATCAATACTATTATGTATCTCTCTCGATTCATGTGACATATGTCTAAAGGCATCTGAACAATAATAGGCATCCATCATATCCATGTTTTTCAGTCTCAGTTTCACTTCATTTGCATTTAATTCCACCTTTATTTGCAGGAAGTCCATATGGTGCTAACCAACTGGTAATGGATGGTTCCAGATATCATGTTGTCCAACCTAAGCAGAGACCTAACCGACAACCATAGTGTTATGCTTAGCTTGTCTCCAGAGAGACTCCATTGTGTTTCTTACTGGTCTGTCTCCTGCAGCACAAACTGTTTTATTTATAAATAAATCTGTTGTGTACCATAGAGACTCACACTCAATCACACATACAAACTGCTTCACAAACATTTGTTCCTCAGTCACTTTCCGTGCACAGATATTTGTTTTTATAATATACATTTTCTACATCATTACACCAATTACTGTTAAGACAAGGAACTTTTAACTGGTTACGAAACAGTCTCGATGTAATACTGATGCCTTTACTTGACCTACATACACACAATTTAGACTATCAGCGACAATATTGGCTATTTCTACACAGTAGTTATTCTTAATTATTGTCATTATTGCAGTGGGGTCCGATTCTGGTGAAAACTGACAATAATCTGCGGGATATAACATATTTTTTTAGAAATATGTTTATATTAAGCAAATGATGGTATCAAAACATTTATTGTCTTGGTAACAGTGTCAAATTGTAGATACTCAGCCCTAAACTAATAAGCAGGATAAATGCAGTGTAGCTTTTACTGTTATCTTGTTCATAGCAGTAACTGAAATAGATAAACCTTGCCATAGTTTATTTCAATGGGGTTAAAAACTTCATTTTTACTCTTTATGGTCTGTCAGACAGTCTGGAAGTTGTGGCCTTTTCCAAACCTTTGCGATACTTTTACAAATGCTGATGTAATGGTCGAGGTGGCCTGGGTCCAACTACCCAATGCAGCTAAATTGATCGAAAAGCTAGATACCACCCACACATTTTCACTAGCGGCGGGCCTATTGTGGAATGCAATAGAGGCCATAACCCTGTAACTCCATTACGATACAAACCGATTTATATTTAACTTTTTTTGCATCAGGCTCTAAACTTCAACAAAATGAAGTGACGTTGGCTTCAGAGTGAGCGTCCAGAGTTTATAAGGCCTGACAAAAAGGGTCATTATTTTCATAATATAGGCAGACATTAATAACATATTACCTCCGTCCGTGTTCCTGATAGATAGCAGGTCTTACAAATGGGCCTCTGTCACTGAGGAACCCCCTCTTACACATCCACTAATTGGATTCAGAATATCAGAGAGGATGGAGGAAAGGCAGCAGTCCTTTTACACCTTCACAGGATAAACTGCCGCTGTTAAAATGACAGGCAGAATGTCTTTATCTCTGCACTCTGTTGTTTCCTTCCTGCTTTATTCCTGCTCTCCTTTTGTCCACCCTTTGTTCCTTCTCTTCATCTTTCCTCTGTCACTCAGCTCGTCCTTCTGTTTTGATGCTGTTTGGCAGCAGCTGCCTCTCGGGGAGACGCTCTTGATTCTAACGGACAGCCGAGACACTGAAGACAGCAGGACCAGCCAAAACTAACAAACCTGAAGCCAGCAGGTCCTCACATCTGTCTCTCCCTCAATCCTTAGGTCCTGTCTTTCCTGTCATTTATTCTTTAATGAGCCTGAGTAAATGACAGCCCGTCTTCTCAAGTCACACAATGTCAAAAGCCACTATGACTACTACGGACAAGAGAGTCCAAACCAGAGTGTTTGGGCAAGACCAGATCTGACAAGACTTAATTAAAGTAGAGCAAACCAAATAAGCAAGGGGCAGTAATCAAGACAAGAGAATGGAGGGCTGTACGTCTAACTGGCAGGCCTCTGCTGGCCCATACTGAAGGCTTTAATTGGGATGCAAACTGTCTGAAATGGGTTTGCTCAAGCAAAACTGTTGCAATGTGTTAAAGTAACTGCAAAAAAATAGATTATTTACCAAAGTGAAAGTCAAATCTTGAAGTTTGACTATGAGCTTTGATTTGAAGGTGTTTACATCTACAGAAGATGGACATTGAAGGAACTGTACCCACATACAATTCCCATGATTGGGCAGGAAAATGTGTAGTGTAATGTGTAATAGTTGTGTAATGTTTAAGGTTATACTATAAGACTTTGCTTACAAGACAATTACACTTGATTGATTGCCAATCGAAATGTTCTGTGCACCTTTCTTTGGTTTTCAAGGCACATCCGACTGTCTGGAGGCCGCGGGGTAGACCCAGAACAAGCTGTACGGATTATATATCACATCTGTCCTGGGAACGCCTCAGGATCCCCCAGGAGCAACTGAAACAAGTTGCAAGGTAGAGGCACCTGGACTAACGTGCTCAGACTACTGCTGCAACAACCCAACTCTCGATATGTGTCCGAAAAATGGAAGGATAGACGCTTGAGTGATTTCAAATCTAGTGTATTACGGTACAAAAGTGATTATCAATACTAGATACTCTCTGACTGCCCTGTTCATTTTAAAGTATTTTGTTATACAGTATTTGTTGGTTTTATGTGCCTCTTATATTTGTTTTTTATCTTGTAATCTTTTGTCGTTTGAATGTTTTTTTTATTTGTATTGTAAGAAGGTAAAGTAAAATGCATGAGTTCTCATGTACAACAAATTACTAATTAAACTGGCCACATAATTAATATGTGCTGCAGCTGAAAGGCTCCATAGGGTCGGTGCCACCTTTAGAGGAAAGGGCGAGCTTTCACCTGCATGATACCACCATTAATCAGCCCAGTAGCTATTAACCACTAAGAGATTGATTCCGGCTTCACTTTTGCCCTGCATGGGATGATTCTTACATAACCTGCCTAATGACAGGCAGTGAGATTAAACAATGAACATTTGCTTTGCATGTACATCACTATCAGCCAAGAAGAAGGGAGCGGGAAAGGTTACCGTGCCTAATTATGAATGGTTAATTTGACCTGAATAAATTGGAATATGGCGCTGCTAGTTTCCTATAAATTGGCAAGGCTATAAATCAGCCTAATGAGTGCAGGCTGACATCTGCAAACACATTAGTCATTATTAGAATGTGAATTTCTGGACATGATGAGGGCTCAGGCAGCGTTGATGCAGCGGTCAGCTCAGAGGACCCCATTGACCAAACAGGCGAACATCTTTTTCTGCTCCAAGAATGCATTGCAACTTCCTCTGAGCCATTGATTTAAATTCAGTCACAGACATCAAAACTGAGCAAAGAAGAAGACGCATCGCAGTGTGGCCAGCTGTCCTCCACAAATGTTTAACGAGGATAATGTATCTATTTGTAGACATTGACATATTTTGGTTCAGAACCAGGTGCATATAACATCAAATACATGCTTTATTTTCCTATTCCATACAATTCTTTAATCCCTACTGGAGATTTTTTTTTCCTTTGGGAAGGGGATTTTCAATTCAATTAACCTCAAATTAGAGTAGATCCAATATGGCATCCAAATTTCCTCTTTCCAAGGTGCTGGATTACTTCCCAGTAATGTTGGAACAGCACCAAAGAGCCAAGCTGCTAATTTATTCCTCCAAATTATCCTGCTGCTCCTGTGAACTCCATCACACATTCTCCTTTTTTCCGAGTGCCAGGCTGGGAATATTTGAAGCTGCTTTTTTTTGCAACCGTCATTAAAAAAGGAGAAAAAGATGCTGAGGGGTATATGATGATATACAACAGCCTATGGGGGTACACACAGCTTAAATCACTACTGAGG